TGCAACCATCCCAAAGATGTAAGCTCGGATCCAAAGGAGCAGGAGCCAAAAGCGACCCATCAACGAAACCCAATTTGTGCTTGGTCTTCAAAGCCAATCGCATAGATCGACTCCAAACGGGGTAATTAGAACCATCAAAAACAACAGAAGTGATGGACTGAGAGAGATTCTCATTAGGGTTGAGGTAATAGGGATGACCAAAGGGGATCTCACCTCTGGCAGTACCCTGCTCGCCCGACGCATTATAGCTACCAAATTGAACAGTAGAACCACCCGACGAGCTGGGAGGAGTGCGCGGAGGAACTTGCTGTCCAGCCATCGGAACGGAGCTGCGTCGTTAGAGCATAGGCTCTGATACCATGTAGAAATTGTAGAAATGCACAGAGATTTGATCGGAAACCCTCAGAAGAAGGAGGTTTCCAGCTGCTCTTCTTATTTATACCGTTATACAGTAATTAGCTCTTTAGTTTAAATTGAGCTTGCCACGTAGCTCAACCTAACTGGTTCCCGCTAATCACTGTTTACAACTAAGAGTGGTAAATACAAATAAACAAAACGACTGCGTTCCTATTACAACTTCTCCAGATACGTTTCTTCAATGGACACGTTTCGAACCATCTCCTGCAACTAGCTGTTCAGCTTCATTCTTCTTCTTCTAGTTGCTGTGCAGCAAATGAACCAGCTTGATGATTGGATTCTGTCACCATGCACTAAGATTGTGCTCATCAGTTCACCCTCTCATATTAGAAAATAACATTTTAGTAATAACAGATAACGAAACACATTTCCAAAAGCACAAATTCTCTTATCTTTTTGGGATAGCTTTAGACACTTATACATTGTACCAAATGACATTAACCAATATATATATATATTCTTGTTTATCTTAAAGTGGACGAACAGAATCGATCTACTATCTGTCCACTAGTGTTTCCTTTTCGATCAATTTTATGAGCCCACTTGATTTCAGAGGCTCTGCTGCAAATTGGGATTTTAATTGTACATATGAAATGCATTCCATTTTAAACATGCTGTTTCTCTTTTTATTTCACAAGTTGGAGGATCCCATATCTAAAAATATGTGGATGGTGCGTCCATATTTTATAAGTAGCCCTAAAAGTTCTTAATAATATGATTAAAGCACCGGGAGGTAATTTGTTCATTACTCCAGTTAATAATGAGGAAATCACTTTTAGTTTTGGGCTCATTTTTCCTATCTTGTATAATTCATTCTCCATTCTAAACGATAGGGAGAGGGAAACCGTGGGTAAGATTGGGGTTGGATTATTACTTGCGTTGTTAATTTGTAGGTTTCTTTATTGGTTTGTAGCATGGTTCATGAAACCGTATCTCGTACCGGTGGTTCAACCATAAAATATCAGTATTGGAGACCGATAGGCGGTATTTAACGGTGTTGTCATAAAATACCCTATCGCTAACTTTTTCAGTATGATATCTGGTAAGATTTTATGGACCATGGTTTGTGGTGTCATAGTTTGAGAGGGGATTAAAATATTTTTTTATAAAATATTAATAAAAGTTAGAACTTTCTTATTTATATAACAAAGAATTTTATTATGTTTGGTAGTATGGATGCTTAATACTTTTAATGTTATGATACAAAATTTAATTTGTACTCATACTTTTCGTATAAATTTCTTTATGGTACAAACTAAATTTGTATTTTTATGGGCTCCATTCGTATAATTATTATCTTGACTAATCTTTCTTCTTGCAATCAATTTGATTTTGGTTCTATATATTAGAGGTGTACATGGATCGGGTGTTTAAGGTTTAGCAGTTTTAATCACCCGACTCATACACTTCGTTTTAATTTGCTCACAAATATGTTTTTATACGACATTAATACGTTTTTCATACATACACTTAATTAGGACAATAGTTGTAACATGGGTTGGGTTGGTCATCTACGATTGCATAACCGAAGACCACACCCGACCCAGGACAAGCGGTTCCACAAACTAAAACTCTCACCCAACCTTAAACCTTAATTTTGGCCATAAACACTAGTGTATTTGATCACACTGGACATATGACTCAGGTTAAGTTTGTTTTTGTTAACCTCTTCTGTATAAGACGATGAATGTAAATACATGTGATCTATTACACACAACAATTCCAACAGGGTCAATAAGTGCCAAGGTTGTCAACCCGCGGGTTGACCTGTCTGTTGACCCACTTGGACCTCGATCCGGTGAGAAAAACAAGCCGCACACACCCGTCGGGTCGACCGCTTCAAGGTACCGGATTGGAGGTCAAACTGTTTTATTCTTTTCTTTGGCTAGCGAATTGCGTCTGTTTTCCTTTTTCGCCTAAACCCAATTTTTGGAATTCTAAATTGAATATTTGAATATTGATGTTATATCAATGTCTGTGAATTTTCACTATATATTACATCCAAGTACGATATGTTATTTTGGTGTAATATTTTTTTTTATTAGTACTCATATGTTAGATGAGATTTGATATAATTTATAAATGCATGAAGAATACAATGACTTTGTTTCATATATCCGGACTAAACTGGACTAAAATAATTGGGCCATTAGCTCTCAACCCACCTGCGCCCGGCCGGACTAATGGGCTAAACCGGGTTAACAACTTGATAAAGTGCTCAATTATTATAAAACAACAAAGTGTTCAATTAAATATTTCCAAATACTTATGATATGATGGGTATCTAATTAGTAATTAGCAATTGCTTGTCATTCTATACAACTCCACCGTGCAAAGAGCTAGTCTAGCTAGCTATGCCTTATTTTTTTTAGCTAATCGCCACTCTGAATTGAACTGAATCCTTTCACTTTGGAGTGGAAGGGTTGTAATAATTATCACGTAAGGATGGGAAGAATTTATGGGTCAAAACCTCAATGGATGGTCGTGGAGATGGTCAACTTTGGGTGAGAGGAGAAGGCAGGTCAGGTCAAAGCAGTGGTGGGGAAACCAGGACCCACTACTGTTTCATTCCATGGGATAAAATAAGGTCAAAGTTTGAGAAATTTTGAGCGACAATGGTCAACTGTGGCAGTCTCACTCAGCCAGCCTGATAATTTAGTATGTGTGTTTGTGTGTGAACCTGAAATCGGAGGAGAGTACACTTCTTTCATATATGTTAATTGCTCTATTTTGATCATAATATAAAGTAAAAAGTATTCTCATTTCTCAGATAGAAATACCTGATCTTCATCCTCCGATTTGCTAGAAAGAAAGTTGGGCTGGCATTTTGGCATAACAGATATATACATGGTTGACTGGACGTCGACTGTTGCAACGCGCTGCAATTTGTTTGAGAGTTTGGGTCTCGATCACTGAACTGACCAGACGGTTCGTCCTCAGCTTGCTTAACCCTACATACAATTATTATTACATTTACACGATTCATTTTGTATTTATTATTATTTTGTTAATTAGCCAGCCAGGTAGCCACCCGTGTTGACTTTAATTCTGTTTGCCTGCCAAAATTCTAAACTGTGACTCTTGTTGTGTCCTCGAGTCCCGAGTCTTGACTATGAGCAACAGCAACTCGTAACTGCCACGATAATTGTCAGATTCTCCGGCAGGCAGGCAGGCTCCATTTTTTACAGGGTCAACGAACTTTTGGGACTCACCAACCAATCCGACAATGAATTTTTCATTTCTAGCAATTTTTTTTTATTTCGTCTCAAAAAGAAATTATGTTGATTGCAAGATCGTAAGATCTTATCATCAAATTTATATGCGGAGAAGAATTTTGAGTTCACTAGGACATGGTTGGTCCTTTAAAATTGAATAAGTGTTGGCATAAAAAATCGAAATTAGACATTTCAACTTAGTATGTTCAGCTTCGATGGTTAATTAGTTCAATATTTTGACGGAAAAAAAAAATTGTTCAAATTCCTAATGGCTTCATTATATGATGGTCTGCCCTCAAATAGAACAAATCATTAAAGTCAGAGCTAGAGATTTGCTTACTTATTTGTGTGTTTGTGTTATGTCAAAGTGAAACTTCTATGATTTGATTTACTTATTTGTGTGTTTGTGTTGTGTCAAAGCGAGACTTCTTTGATTTGATCTAGTTATTAGTGTTGATCAGTACGTAGTAGATTTAATCTGACAACTAACGTAACGGGTTGTTATGTGTTTTTCTATAGTCAATTATTATGTATTTGAGCATTGCTTAAGATTTGAATTCTTATTATCTAGTGAAACAATAATTGTACGATCTTATTTTTAGTTTGTGTCTAACTCCTATATATATATGGACACGTTATTGATGGTATAGGGCTGACACTTTCTTTTTGTTCATTTGCGATTGTTGCGGAAGTTCAAGCCATGTTACTTGCTCCGCTGTTGGATGAGGTCACTCGAGTTTCGGAGATCATCTACTCAGATTGCCAAGCAATTATTCATGCCCTTCTCATGCCTAATTCGATAGAATCATCGCAAGTTATGTCGAGGAATCATTGTACGCATCAGTTTCTTACCTCCAATGATAGGATCAAGGTGGCATTTGTGGCTAGGATCAGAAACAAAAGGTTGGTTAATTGGTTGCTAAAGAGGCTACAAAAAGGATCGCTAATCATGTTCAGTGAGTTTCATTATCGATTAATATTAGGGGTGGCTATACGGTCCGGTCCGGTTAAATTGGCCCAACACTACAAGAAACTTTACTTTCTGCGGCGGAAACAATTCGTCGCAAAAAGTCCAAAATCCGTCGCGGAAACATTGCCCGACGAATTTTTCCGTCGCAGAAAGGAAAAAGTGTTCGTCGCCTATACAGCGTCGCAGAAAGTTCTGCGACGAATATTTAGCGTTCGTTGCAATAAAAAACCGAGTCGTCGCTAAAAATCGTTCATTTTGCGACGCCTCTTTCGTCGCAAATTGATTATTTGGCGACGAGAGACTTTCGTTGCAGTAAAATGGGTTATTTTGCAACGGATGTTCCGTCGCAGAAACGTTAATTTCGACGAAGACTACATTTAGAGCTTTTGCAATTTTTTTGGGTTAATTTCAGAATAGGTCACAATTTATTTTTAGGATAATTTTAGAATAGGTCACAATTTTTTACAAAGTTCCATTTTCTGTCCAAATCGCCACCTCATCAAACCCAAAATTCCATATTTCGTCCAAAATAACTACACTACCCACTCCTCATCCAAAATCCAGATTTGCAAAGTCCGAATGTCAAACCTGCAAAGAAAATAAGGTCAGATTTTGTAAATACAATACAAACTACGGAAACTCTCTAGAAAAACAAAAAACCAAATCAAAGCAAGACGAACAAATTGAATCAAACAAAAGCATTAACGCAAGAGAAGTAAAAAAAAATAATCAAAGTCAGATCTGGTTTCTTCCTTTCTTTCGCTTTCTACTCGGAATAGCAGATCTGTTCGTCCAGGCGCATCTAGAGCTGTTCCACGCAGCTAGAGTCGAAATAGATATACAAAAAATCGACTACTTACCCAGATCTGGTTTCTCCTTTCTTTCGCTTCTCTACTTACCCAGATCTCCCTCTTCTTACTTGTCTGGCGGACGATCCCTTCACCGCCGTCAACACCCGAGGCCACCACGTGACCCCCTTTTCTTCCGCCCTCGTTCGAAACCAAAACCCATAAAGAAAAACGTCAGAATCCCATTTTGAACAAAAAAACCCCCCAAAAAAAAACACACATGTATGCCCAATCCCTACCCGGATAGTTGCTTTTCTGATCGTTTCTTTCATATCCGGGGAGGAGAAAAGAAGATAGACCGAGAGGATAAAAGGGAAGGAGAAAGGAAGATGCAGCAAGGAATAAGAAGGGAAAGATAGACCGAGAGGAGAAAAGGGAAGAAAGAAAGAAAGTGCGGCTAGGGTTCAATGAGATTGGTGTTCCACAGTTGAATTTTTTATTATATACTGCCCATGTGAGTTTGCAATTACAAGAGTGACCCTCATTCTATATAACGTATAAAATGAAACTGATTGCTCGGGGTATCGAACACGGGACCAGTTCATCGATGAAATTCTGGACAAGTGACACAACCAACTGCACTCATTCAATTATTTGATAAGCAAGAGTTTCGTATAGTTTTGACTGCTCTCATTAAGAAATACACAAATACTTAATGCAATAAGTGTTCTTCAAATAGTTTTGTACATTAGGTATTCATAAACTAATAATTCATGCATACTGTGTCTCCCACTTTTAAATAATTAAATATTAAAATTTTTAATACGCAAATATTTTGAGACATTCTACGACGACAAACAATCGCCGAATAATATCTATAACATTTTTGCGACGATAATCGTCGCAAAAAGTCCCAAAACATTCTGCGATGATAGAAAATCGTTGCCGAAAGTCTCAAACATTCTGCGACGATAGAGAATCGTCGCCGAAAGTCTCCAAACAATCTGCGACGACAGAAAATCGTCGCTGAAAGTCTTCAACAAACTGCGACGACAAACAATCACCGCAGAAAGTCGCTAAACATTCTGCGACGGTTGTTAATCGTCGCCGAAAGTCTCCAAACATTCTGCGATGAAATAAGTCGTCGTGAAAAAGAAATGACCGTTGCAAAAACCTTTACCCCACTTACCACAAAATGTTAACACAGTGCGCGACGAAAAAACAAAATTCGTCGCAAAATATTCACTTTCTGCGACGAATTTGGTATCGTCGCAATAGAATTCGTCGCAAAAAGTGCAGTTTCTTGTAGTGCAAATTGATCCGGTCTAGTCCGGTTTTTTTGAAAATATAAGGACCGAAGATTGGATTGGATACAGTCCGGTCTTGATCCGGTCCGGTCTTGACCCGGTCCGGTCCCAATTCGGTCTTGATTTTATATTGAGATTGTGGGAATTTGAGTGGCCTAAGGCCTAAAAGGGTGAGGAGTTGGTTAATTTTGGCACTAAGTGCAAAGGTTTGTGACCGTTTATGCAAATTACCCTTAAGTTTTGGGTGTTGAGCTTTTTTATCCGGTCTTTATCCGGTTTTTTACCTCAAATCTAAGCCCAAAGATTGGATTGGATTGTTTACTATCCGGTCCCGGTCCGGTCTCGGTCCGGGTTATACGATCCGGTTTCCGGTTTTTCATCCGGTCCCGGTCCAAATAGCCAGCCCTCATTAATATCTCGTTTTCTGTAATGGGATGTTTGAATTACAATATTTACGATTGAATGAATCACTTTTGTGTAAAAGCGAGGGACGAGACGACGACTCACGAGTCGCGATCGAGTCACGGGTACGCGGCGACTCGATCAAGACAAACCAAAACCTGTACCATCATCACAACGTAATATTAATTACAACGACAGTATTAAAGTTTTAATTAATGGCAAGCAGGCATTGTTAAAATAACATAAAAGGGAAAACTGTCAATAAATTTATAGTGGCAAAACATCATAATTTGCTTATCAACCATGATTTGTTAGAAGAAAGTTTCAGGCTTGAAGCCAGTTTTTTTTATAGATAACTATTCTTTTGGCCGAGCCCCGATCGAGCTACATACGTACAATTGAGGAAATTAACGAGTACAAGTTGATTATAATAACTCGAATTATTGAGGGAGATTCGATTATGACTTATATATCGTTTACTAACACACCCCATCATACGAAAGTCAAGTCGGCTCACATTGACTTGAATTTAATTTGCATAGATCCGAACAGGCGAATACCATGTGCTTAGCATAGCAGAAAGCTCCATTACCACCATGATGAGATCTTCTATAATTTGAGTTGGTGTGAGATATTCAATTATGACTTATATATCATTTACTAACAATTACCAACCCAAGCTTTAAATATTTGCTCAATACAATGACATTACCGATATCATTATAAACATATATATTTATATTATTAGAACAAATCATTAAAAAAAACAGATATTTCGCATGGATCAATCCGGAATAGAAATCATTCTACGTCGATCAATGTCTTAAGCCTGTCTGTCTTTGCTCCATCCATATTACTGAACATTAAATTCAAGAAATACTTTATTGCTAGAGAATTTACCATGAAACGGAATATTGTATTTAATTACCATCCAAAAATTTCAAGTCACCGATCAAGTTTCCATTAATTGACAAAATGCTTTTTCCCACGAGATCTCAAAAATGTATGATGTTCAACATTAAGCACGTTCTCCTCGTGGGTGTTTCCTCACCCAACTATCATCTCCATCGCCGGCTCCACAATTTCCCAACACCATGTATATATTCATCCAATCATATATGCTTCCTGATTTTCTAGTTGAAGAACTCCACACCCGCAACCAACTTATCACAACACTGTTTACGATTGGGTGCTAAACCCGAGGTCTTTAGGAACTTGGTATAAATGCATGCTACTGTCAATCTTGTCTATTGAGAGTCAATGGTTGTGTTAAGCCCAACCAATAATTCAGGCAGTTTTGTCTGGATTTAAGAAAAAGATATATGATATAATATTTTTATTATTTTTTTATCATTATTAATATATATGATTCTTTTTTATGAGGCAATTTGGTTCTCAGTTATGTTGTTATTCTTGCTTATATTGTTTCGTACCCGTAGTCACATAATTAATAGCCGCACAAGAATAACAAACAAGGATATAGACAATTAGACATACAGTCATAGTCCCATGCACGTAAAGTGCACTGTTCCTCTGTAACGTGAATTTCCAGATGTGTAAAAGATAAAAAAAAAATAATTAATTTCCTGGCGAAGAAGTGTGATGCTGTAACCCAAAGTTTGAGGCCCATGCTATTTTGAATAGAATTTAAGCCCAATGTGCTAACTCAATTTGAATGGACCAATACAGTTGATGGCCCATGTCTCATGCTGGACTGGTTGGCATACTACCGAGCCCACATACTGTAAAGCCCAGTCCATTTACTGCCGCACCCAGCCCACACGTCTTCTTGGCAGGAGATCAAAGCCGCCCGGAATTCTTGCGATCCCTCAGGCCCACAAAAAATCAAAGAAAGAAAGAATCTAAGACGTCTCTTACAAACCTACGTCACCAATGACGTCGTACACAACCAGCCGCTTCCACACAAATTAAAACATTTGTCTTATTAATTATTATTATCCCAAAACATATCCAGATATCCTTCTCCGGTTAGCAATTAGCTTCACTGGTTCACTGAATACTCACAACGAAACAGAACAAACCAGGCAGCCATGAAAACCCTCCCACTAATTCTCTGTTGCATCCTCATCAATTCGCTGCTTCCCACTCAATCCACCGTCCAAAACCACCGAAACCCACCTCCCCCAACCAGCAGCATCATCTTCACCACGCTCGGCCGATCCAGCTACGCCTTCGACCTCTTCACTCTCCCCACGCGCCGCCGCACCCCGCCGTCCCCGTCCTCCGAGCTCCGCCTCACCGATGGCGCCTCCGTCAATTTCAACGGCCATTTCGCCTCCCCATCTCCCGCTCTCCTCTCTCTCTCCCCCCAACCATCTCCTATCCAACGACCCTTTACCACCCCCGCGGCGGCGGAGGCGGCGGAACTTCACCACGTCTACGTTTCGGAGAGGAACGGATCCTGCAACATCTACTACGACGCCATTGCTTTCGATTCTCACCCGCCGGAAAGCTCCTCCAGATCGAGGTCCGCCATGGAGATCGCGCCACGTGTCCAGCTGCCTCTAATCCACGGTCACGATGGGCTCTCTCTGAAGGATAGGCCCACAGTGGTTGGAGATAAGCTGGTCTACGTGTCAACCCACGAGAAGTCCGCCAAGCCCAGGACGAGTTGGGCCGCCGTCTACTCAACCGATTTGAAAACCGGGTCGACTCGGAGACTCACCCCAATTGGAATCGCCGATTTCAGCCCCGCCGTGTCTCCATCCGGATTTCTCACCGCCGTAGCTTCCTACGGCGAGAATGGGTGGAACGGCGAGGTGGAGGAACTCTCCACCGATATCTACGTCTTCCTGACAAAGGACGGGTCAGAGCGGGTCAAAATCGTCGAACACGGCGGGTGGCCGAGTTGGGTCGACGATTCGACCCTGTTCTTCCACAGGAAGAGCGAGGAAGACGGGTGGATCAGCGTGTACAAGGCGATTCTGCCGAATTCGGGCCCGGTCTCGACCGATTCGGTGACAGTCACCCGAATCACCCCGCCGGGAATCCACGCGTTCACTCCGGCGACTTCCCCGGGCAACACCGATTTCATCGCCGTCGCCACGAGAAGACCCACCTCGACCTACCGCCACATAGAGCTCTTCGACCTTGTCAATAACGAGTTCACCGAGTTGACCCGCTTCGTGTCCCCTCAAACCCACCATCTCAACCCGTTCCTCTCGCCCGACTCGGGTCGGGTCGGGTACCACAGGTGCAGAGGCCAATCCAACTCCGGCGACCCGCACTTGCTGCTGGAGAGTCTTCACAGCCCGCGACCGGACGTCTCGCTGTTCAGAATCGACGGATCCTATCCCGTCTTCTCCCCGGCCGGCGACCGCATCGCCTACGTCGAAATGCCCGGTGTGTACGTGGTGAACCGGGACGGTTCGAACCGGCGTCGGGTTTACCCAGGGATGGCCTTCACGACCGAGTGGGACCCGGTTCGCCCGGGGATCGTGTACACTGCAGCCGGACCTACTTTCGCCCCGGTGAGCTCGGAGGTGGACATCATCTCCATCAACGTTGACCACGCTGACGTGGACAATAACGTCAAAAAATTGACCACCAACGGCATCAACAACGCTTTCCCCTCACTCTCACCGGACGGGAAATGGATCGTGTTCCGATCGGGTTTATCGGGTCAGAAGAATCTCTACATAATGGACGCCGAGAAGGGTGAGGCCGGCGACGGCGGGCTCCGGAAATTGACGGAGGGTCAATGGACGGACACGATGTGTAAATGGTCGCCGGACG